AAGCTTGCCCAAATAGAAGCATGGCACTCACAAGCGGGCTCCCACCGGTGGGTCGACCTGGAAACAAAACTAATGATCTCAGACCTACTGCAATTCTGGATATGGGTACCCAAACAGGACAGACCGCCCATTCGAACCACCTGCCTGGCGATCCTAAATTCCATAAGAATATGGGATCTGACGGCCACCAAATACGCCCTAAAACAAACACCCTCACCACTAACTCCGTATTTATGGAACAAAGCATTCGAGCCCGGGCTGAGCGCACAAGACTTTCGGGAAACAGAGAGTACGGGGATACAGAGATACATCCACATGTATGACGGTGGGTCCTTCAGAACGTTTGACAACCTAAAAACCTTAGCAACCCTGACCACAAGAGACTTATTTAGATACGTACAATTGCGAGACTTTGCCAAAAACCAAGAAGTTAGAAAAGCAGCCCACACACGTTCTACGAGCAGCTGTGTAATGCAGAAACCATACAGAAGGGCCTAATAACAGCCATATACATGCAACTCAGTGCCCCAGACAAAGACGCTAAAGACCCAAGATACATAAACCAGTGGGAGGTGGACCTTGGTGGGGAACTGGAAGGAGAGGACTGGGCAGACATATGGGAAGTGACTTCTAAGACATCGATCTGTGTATTACACCAGGAACAGTCCTATATGCTAATGAGATGGTACACCACACCGGTACAATTACATAGAATGGGAAAAACCACGACAGACACATGTTGGAAGGGATGCGGTAACAAGGGTACCTTTGTGCACATGTGGTGGGACTGCCCAAGGGTCAACAAATACTGGAAGCGGATACAGACACTACTGACAGACATCCTGGAGAGACATATAGATTTGGACCCTTGGTCCGTCCTTTTATCTAGACCTATAGACGACCTCCCCAGAAAAGAACAACAACTCTTCAACAAGATAACCCTAGCAGCCAGAAGGGCCCTAGCTCAGGCCTGGCTGAAGCCCACGATCCCCACAGACAACGACGTGATAGTAAAAATCAAAGATACATATCTGATGGACAAACTCACAGCCCAAATTAGAAACACAGAAAAATCATTCCATAAAATCTGGCAACCCTGGGAAGACTATGCTAACGAATAAACTCCCCCAAACCAAACAAAGACAGAGGTCCTGGATGGGACCTTGGCCCCCAGACAAAGACGCTAAAGACCCAAGATACATAAACCAGTGGGAGGTGGACCTTGGTGGGGAACTGGAAGGAGAGGACTGGGCAGACATATGGGAAGTGACTTCTAAGACATCGATCTGTGTATTACACCAGGAACAGTCCTATATGCTAATGAGATGGTACACCACACCGGTACAATTACATAGAATGGGAAAAACCACGACAGACACATGTTGGAAGGGATGCGGTAACAAGGGTACCTTTGTGCACATGTGGTGGGACTGCCCAAGGGTCAACAAATACTGGAAGCGGATACAGACACTACTGACAGACATCCTGGAGAGACATATAGATTTGGACCCTTGGTCCGTCCTTTTATCTAGACCTATAGACGGCCTCCCCAGAAAAGAACAACAACTCTTCAACAAGATAACCCTAGCAGCCAGAAGGGCCCTAGCTCAGGCCTGGCTGAAGCCCACGATCCCCACAGACAACGACGTGATAGTAAAAATCAAAGATACATATCTGATGGACAAACTCACAGCCCAAATTAGAAACACAGAAAAATCATTCCATAAAATCTGGCAACCCTGGGAAGACTATGCTAACGAATAAACTCCCCCAAACCAAACAAAGACAGAGGTCCTGGATGGGACCTTGGCCCCCAGACAAAGACGCTAAAGACCCAAGATACATAAACCAGTGGGAGGTGGACCTTGGTGGGGAACTGGAAGGAGAGGACTGGGCAGACATATGGGAAGTGACTTCTAAGACATCGATCTGTGTATTACACCAGGAACAGTCCTATATGCTAATGAGATGGTACACCACACCGGTACAATTACATAGAATGGGAAAAACCACGACAGACACATGTTGGAAGGGATGCGGTAACAAGGGTACCTTTGTGCACATGTGGTGGGACTGCCCAAGGGTCAACAAATACTGGAAGCGGATACAGACACTACTGACAGACATCCTGGAGAGACATATAGATTTGGACCCTTGGTCCGTCCTTTTATCTAGACCTATAGACGGCCTCCCCAGAAAAGAACAACAACTCTTCAACAAGATAACCCTAGCAGCCAGAAGGGCCCTAGCTCAGGCCTGGCTGAAGCCCACGATCCCCACAGACAACGACGTGATAGTAAAAATCAAAGATACATATCTGATGGACAAACTCACAGCCCAAATTAGAAACACAGAAAAATCATTCCATAAAATCTGGCAACCCTGGGAAGACTATGCTAACGAATAAACTCCCCCAAACCAAACAAAGACAGAGGTCCTGGATGGGACCTTGGCTGCCACGCGCCCCAAAAAACAGCGTGTCCCCCCAATTATCAGCTCGCTCCATCCCCCCTCTCCCCTACTCTGAACATACCGAAGGAGGAAACAAACAGGGAGACAGTGCCCATAAACACCTCACTTCCTCACACACGCCACAAAATAAGATCCTAACAGGTAGCAGTTAGAAGGGCAGTACTAAAATATGGCGCTGGCACGACAGCCAACATAGAAGCATTACGACCACCCCAAACAAAGACCTTACTCCAGAACCTAAACAGGGCTTGAGGAAAGAACCAGAATGGACACTAAAGTCCCCGAGTGGATAGGAAACCTGGATAGGGAAACACATAGGGTGAGAAGATAATACGGGCTAGTGCCATGAACAGGTATACACGACCTTAGTGACCTACACCACATAAGTTCAATCCAAAAGCAACAATCTGCAATGAAAACCAAACTAACGCACACCGTAACAAACTGTAGATACACAGAACGCTGTATCGAATGTGGGTCTGTTTTGTCTTGCTTTGTTTTGTTATGTTTTATATGGTTAAATGGACATGATATGTCCACCAAAACTGAAAACTCGACCATGAGCGGCAGACCACGAATGTTAAACTGTAAAACCATTTCTCTTCTGTAACATGCAATGTATAAATTTTTTTATTCCCGGCCCCTGTGTGAGCCGAAATATACTGTGATGCTGTTCTATGTGTCGAGACAAAAAAAAAGAATAAAAAAAAAAAGAAGGGAGTTAAAGGTATTAAAGACGCCTAGGATTGCAAGAGCATGAGCTAATAAGAGAAGAAAAGTATGACTGTTTGGCAAGGGTTGCGCTGTATGAATTTGTAGTGTAGAAAGTCTGACTCGGTGTGAGACCTCCTCCTGCAGCTTTCAGCAGAACAGGAACATCTCTGCAGGTAGCGTGTTGATTTAGTGTGCCACGGTTGGGGGCATATTCTGGGGAAGGGGTGTCACATGAAGGCTTATTTAGCGCTTTAAGAATATTAGGGCATAACAGAATTTTTTAGATCTTTTTCTGAAGTGCAAGGAAAATGCTTCTCCAATTATACACCTCCCACAATGTTTTGCCAGTCAAAGCCAGAACAGTCATTAGTCAAGTAAAAAATTCTAATTATAGGCTTAATTAGCCAAGCTATAACATTCTAAGATTGAGCTATGTTTTCAGACAGGCTAGTTTTGCTTAAAATTTGAAACCCACCTCTGCAGATTATTCACTAAAAACTTTAGTTGGACCAGATAATTTTTGGATTTGCAATTCTCATATTTTCTAAATTAAATTGAAATGTAGTTATTTCAGCTGAATAAGCACATCCCCTTTGGTACCAAAATACCATATGCAGGTTCTACATAAAAGACAGGATTTGCATGTTCATAAAACACAACATTTTTAACAAGATTCACTCTAAACAAATCCTGTATAAGGCAAATTCTCCAAATAGATTCACCTGCATTTTACAAGCAACCCACACGAATCCCCTATATTAGCCCCATCGGCATAAGCAGCAGAGTTTTTGTATACAAGTATGTTACAAGCGTATTGTGATTATTTTTAAAAATACATATTCCGAAAATACTGCAAAAAAAAAAAACACTGTAGGAAGCTACTAATATATACATAGAGAATGTCTAGAACAGATTGTAGGGGGTAACCCCCTTTTGTTATAGATTTGGGGCTTCTACATGCTTCTATAAGCATAATCTACATTCTAGTTCTGTTAACCTAATTTTTAGTAAATGTACCTAAACTATACTATATCCTGCTATACTCATGCACTGTTATTATAATTTCTGATTGTTAAACTGTGGTATAGACAGGCTTTTTATCAGCCAGTTTGGACTCCTCCAAACTAGACATTTATGCCTCTCTCCTCCAAGTGTGTTCTTTGCCCTACAAGATACATTTACTTATCTTATAGTTGTTACAGTTACATGTCTTTATTTAGTTACATGTTTCCACTCATGGACTTGATTTATGTAACTATCTCTCACTATTATCTTTCGTGTAGGGCAATCTAACAGTTTATCTATATATTTCTAGAATTTTAGCTAATCTCTTTTCTATTTAACTCTATTTATTGAGAATCTATCTAGAAAATATACTTATAATATATAGAAAAATTCTTTTGTACTTATTTTACCCTCCCGTTTTCCTGTGTTTATAGTTTTGTTTTTTGTTTTTTACCTTTTTAACTATACATATTAAATGTTATATTTTACATGTGTCAACTTTACTATATTAGTGATCATATTAGGATAGATTATGCTCTTTTCGTTTTCTTATTCATAAAATATATTCTATAACAGACAGAGTGTGTCAAATTTGCTTTAACAGAAAAATGTGTTCTTATTTTGATAATTTAGGTCTGGATTTCAGCTGTATCTGGACATACGGATATATGGACTATTTTCAAACTAATTTGGAGGATATATTATGTTAATATTGTGAAATATGCCCAGATTTTGCAGTTCAAATGCCCTGACAATGTAATAGAGCAGCAGGAAATGCTAGCAGAATGCTTGGTTGTATAGGGAGAGGTATTGGCAGTAGAAAGAGGGAAGTGCTCATGTCATTGTACAGAACACTGGTGAGACCTCACTTGGAGTATTGTACGCAGTACTGGAGAACGTATCTTCAGAAGGATATTGATACCTTAGAGAGGGTTCAGAGAAGGGCTACTAAACTGGTTCATGGATTGCGGGATAAAACTTACCAGGAAAGGTTAAAGGATCTTAACATGTATAGCTTGGAGGAAAGACGAGACGGGGGGATATGATAGAAACATTTAAATACATAAAGGGGAATTAACACAGTAAAGGAGGAGACTATATTTAAAAAAAGAAAAACTACCACAATAAGAGGACATAGACTTAAATTAGAGGGACAAAGGTTTAACAATAATATCAGGAAGTATTACTTTACTGAGAGGGTAGTGGATGCATGGAATAGCCTTCCAGCTGAAGTGGTAGAGGTTAATGCAGTAAAGGAGTTTAAGCATGTGTGGGATAGGCATAAGGCTATCCTAACTATAAGATAAGGCCAGGGACTAATGAAAGTATTTTAAAAAATTGTCGGCCGTCACATTCTATGTTTCTAAGTCCCAGATTATATTTGCTAATGCAGACGTAGGGGTATTGGGACTTCAAAATTGTGTTCTTTAACGCCAGGTCTGACCTCTGTCACATGCTGTGTTTAGAGGCAAACATAGCATTAATAGTGAACTCAGCTCATTTTACTGAGCAGAATACGTGGGAGTACAGGTTGTATCATTTTTACGTAGAGCTCACAAACTAGGTCCAGATGTTAGGGGGCCCTTGTGAAAAAGTTTAATGAAATCCAATCCTTCCTTCTTCACTGGGTTTTGGGTCCCATGTGGGTCCAGTCAATCCTACCAACCACATTCATGGCTCTCTTGGTCCTCACCCTCCCTTCCCCTTACTGCCAGATGAGAAGCAGATGTAACATTAGGAGCCTGAAAGGAGGTCACTTTGTCAGACTACAGGCTGAACGCAGGTTTCCTGCAAGCCGTCATTGCTTACAAGCTTGAAATTCCATTAAACTACTAACTGCACCAGTATATTCTGTAATAGAAACAGCAGCTTCAATGAACAAAAGATTAGTTCTGCCCCCTCTCCAAACCAGAAGCATTTGCTTATTGCTCAACAAAAATATCGCTGCACACAAGGCCTTGACTTGGATTTCAGTGAGATGGAGTCCAGTTGTTTGCTTAATTTACCAATTCCCAGGATCCAGCCTGGTGACTGTGAAACTCTGTTTGCAGGATTAGCTCAGCAATGGAAGTCACTTCTCAGTTTGATAGGGCAGACATTAGAAGCTGTACAGCAGCATATTGTTTTCACATTGGAACACTCCTGTGACAGTAACAGAATTAAGCAGTCTTCCTCTATTTTATCACCCAAGTTTGGGGAAGAAATATAGACAATTAAATTTAGTGATTGGTGAAAGATCAGCAAATAATCTACATTACAGACCGCAATCTACACTGCATTACACACATTCCAGAATTGTTTTACAAATACATAAGCTATGGGAAGAAGTTAGGTGTTCTATCTATAGCAAGATACACAAGTCGTCACAGAACGCAATCAGCATTTCATATAGTGTGGAATTGATGCTGAAGTTCGAATTAGATATTCTATAAAAGCTGCTGTTTAGGGGTTGAGCTACATTTGGAAAATATTGGGATCAGATGGCATATACCACATTATTATGTTAAATAGCACCAAATTCCACAGCGCTTTACAGTGGGTGGATGAACATGTAGTAGTAACCAGACAAGTTGGACACACAGGAACAGAGGGATTGAGGGCCCTGCTCAGTGAGTTTACATGTTAGAGGGAGTGGGGTATAGTGACACAGTAACAGAGGGATTGAGGGCCCCCTGCTCAGTGAGTTTACATGTTAGAGGGAGTGGGGTATAGTGACACAGTAACAGAGGGATTGAGGGCATGCTCAGTGAGTTTACATGTTAGAGGGAGTGGGGTATAGTGACACAGTAACAGAGGGATTGAGGGCCCTGCTCAGTGAGTTTACATGTTAGAGGGAGGGGGTATAGTGACAGTAACAGAGGGATTGAGGGCCCTGCTCAGTGAGTTTACATGTTAGAGGGAGTGGGGTATAGTGACACAGTAACAGAGGGATTGAGGGCCTGCCCAGTGAGTTTACATGTTAGAGGGAGTGGGGTATAGTGACACAGTAACAGAGGGATTGAGGGCCTGCTCAGTGAGTTTACATGTTAGAGGGAGTGGGGTATAGTGACACAGTAACAGAGGGATTTAGGGCCTGCTCAGTGAGTTTACATGTTAGAGGGAGTGGGGTATAGTGACACAGTAACAGAGGGATTGAGGGCCCTGCTCAGTGAGTTTACATGTTAGAGGGAGTGGGGTATAGTGACACAGTAACAGAGGGATTGAGGGCCTGCTCAGTGAGTTTACATGTTAGAGGGAGTGGGGTATAGTGACACAGTAACAGAGGGATTGAGGGCCTGCTCAGTGAGTTTACATGTTAGAGGGAGTGGGGTATAGTGACACAGTAACAGAGGATTGAGGGCCTGCTCAGTGAGTTTACATGTTAGAGGGAGTGGGGTATAGTGACACAGTAACAGAGGGATTGAGGGCCCTGCTCAGTGAGTTTACATACTAGAGGGAGTGGGGTATAGTGACACAGTAACAGAGGGATTGAGGGCCTGCTCAGTGAGTTTACATGTTAGATGGAGGGGGTATATATGACACAGTAACAGAGGGATTGAGGGCCCTGCTCAGTGAGTTTACATGTTAGAGGGAGTGGGGTATAGTGACACAGTAACAGAGGGATTGAGGCCCCTGCTCAGTGAGTTTACATGTTAGAGGGAGTGGGGTATAGTGACACAGTAACAGAGGGATTGGGGGCCCTGCTCAGTGAGTTTACATGTTAGAGGGAGTGGGGTATAGTGACACAGTAACAGAGGGATTGAGGGCCTGCTCAGTGAGTTTTCATGTTAGAGGGAGTGGGGTATCGTGACAGTAACAGAGGGATTGAGGGTCCTGCTCAGTGAGTTTACATGCTAGAGGGAGTGGGGTAAAGTGACACAGTAACAGAGGGATTGAGGGCCCTGTTCAGTGAGTTTTCATGTTAGAGGGAGTGGGGTATCGTGACACAGTAACAGAGGGATTGAGGGCCTGCTCAGTGAGTTTACATGTTAGAGGGAGTGGGGTATAGTGACACAGTAACAGAGGGATTGAGGGCCTGCTCAGTGAGCTTACATGCTAGAGGGAGTGGGGTATAGTGACAGTAACAAAGGGATTGAGGGCCTGCTCAGTGAGTTTACATGTTAGAGGGAGTGCGGTATAGTGACACAGTAACAGAGGGATTGAGGGCCCTGCTCAGTGAGTTTACATGTTAGAGGGAGTGGGGTATAGTGACCCAGTAACAGAGGGATTGAGGGCCCCGCTCAGTGAGTTTACATGTTAGAGGGAGTGGGGTATAGTGACACAGTAACAAAGGGATTGAGAGCCCTGCTCAGTGAGTTTACATGTTAGATGGAGTGGGGTATAGTGACACAGTAACAGAGGGATTGAGGGCCCTGCTCAGTGAGTTTACATGTTAGAGGGAGTGGGGTATATTGACAGTAACAGAGGGGTTGAGGGCCCTGCTCAGTGAGTTTACATGCTAGAGGGAGTGGGGTATAGCGACACAGTAACAGAGGGATTGAGGGCCCTGCTCAGTGAGTTTACATGTTAGAGGGAGTGGGGTATAGTGACAGTAACAGAGAGATTGAGGGCCTGCTCAGTGAGTTTACATGTTAGAGGGAGTGGGGTATAGCGACACAGTAACAGAGGGATTGAGGGCCCTGCTCAGTGAGCTTACATGTTAGAGGGAGTGGGGTATAGGGCCTGCTCAGTGAGTTTACATGCTAGAGGGAGTGGGGTATAGCGACACAGTAACAGAGGGATTGAGAGCCCTGCTCAGTGAATTTACATGCTAGAGGGAGTGGGGTATAGTGACACAGTAACAGAGGGATTGAGGGCCCTGCTCAGTGAGCTTACATGTTAGAGGGAGTGGGGTATAGGGCCTGCTCAGTGATTTTACATGCTAGAGGGAGTGGGGTATAGCGACACAGTAACAGAGGGATTGAGGGCCTGCTCAGTGAGCTTACATGCTAGAGGGAGTGGGGTATTGTGACACAGTAACAGAGGGATTGAGTGCCCTGCTCCGTGAGTTTACATGTTAGAGGGAGTGGGGTATAGTGACACAGTAACAGAGGGATTGAGTGCCCTGCTCAGTGAGTTTCCATGTTAGAGGGAGCGGGGTATAGTGACACGGTAACAGAGGGATTGTGGGCCCTGCTCAGCGAGTTTACATGTTAGAGGGAGTGGGGTATAGTGACACGGTAACAGAGGGATTGAGGGCCCTGCTCAGCAGTGAGTCGGCATGTTACGGAGTGGGGGTACAACGGTATCACGCAACAGAGGGATTGAGAGCCTGCCCAGAGTTTACATGCCAGAGGGAGTGGGGTATAGTGACACAGCAACAGAGGGATTGAGGCCCTGCTCTTGAGTTTACATGTTAGATGGAGTGGGGTATAGCGGGACACAGTAACAGAGGGGATTCGAGGGCCCCAAGCCCAGTGAGTTTGCATGTTAGAGGGGAGGGGGTATAGCGACACAGCAATAGAGGGATTGAGAGCCCAGTGAGTTTACATGCCAGGAGGGAGCGGGGTATAGTGACACAGTAACAGAGGTGGGATTGAGGGCCTGCCCAGTGAGTTTACATGTTAGATGGAGTGGGGTATAGTGACACAGTAACAGAGGGATTGAGGGCCCTGCTCAGTGAGTTTACATGCTAGAGGGAGTGGGGTATAGGGACAGTAACAGAGGGATTGAGGGCCCTGCTCAGTGAGTTTACATGTTAGATGGAGTGGGGTATAATGACACAGTAAGAGGGATTGAGGGCCCTGCTCAGTGAATTTACATGCTAGAGGGAGTGGGGTATAGTGACACAGTAACAGAGGGATTGAGGGCCCTGCTCAGTGAGTTTGCATGTTAGAGGGAGTGGGGTATAGTAACACAGTAACAGAGGGATTGAGGGCCTGCTCAGTGAGTTTACATGTTAGAGGGAGTGGGGTATAGGGACAGTAACAGAGGGATTGAGGGCCCTGCTCAGTGAGTTTACATGTTAGAGGGAGTGGGGTATAGTGACACAGTAACAGAGGGATTGAGGCCTGCTCAGTGAGTTTACATGTTAGATGGAGTGGGGTATAGTGACACAGTAACAGAGGGATTGAGGGCCCTGCTCAGTGAGTTTACATGTTAGAGGGAGTGGGGTATAGCGACACAGTAACAGAGGGATTGAGGGCCCTGCTCAGTGAGTTTACATGTTAGAGGGAGTGGGGTATAGTGACACAGTAACAGAGGGATTGAGGGCCCTGCTCAGTGAGTTTACATGTTAGAGGGAGTGGGGTATAGTGACACAGTAACAGAGGGATTGAAGGCCTGCTCAGTGAGTTTACATGCTAGAGGGAGTGGGGTATAGTGACACAGTAACAGAGGGATTGAGGGCCCTGCTCAGTGAGGTTACATGTTAGAGGGAGTGGGGTATAGTGACACAGTAACAGAGGGATTGAGGGCCCTGCTCAGTGAGGTTACATGTTAGAGGGAGTGGGGTATAGTGACAGTAACAAAGGGATTGAGGGCCTGCTCAGTGAGGTTACATGTTAGAGGGAGCGGGGTATAGTGACACAAAAAGGTAAGGATAGTATTAGACTAGTGACAGTTGCAAGAGAGGAATCAGTCAGGAGCCATTAACAGTTTAATGGATACGCTTTTATGAAGAAGTGGGTTTTTAATGATTTTTGAAGGAGTGGAGACTGGATGAGTATCTAACGGAGAAGGGAAGTGAGTTCCACATCCATCTTAGTCAAAGCAGAGCTCACCGTAACAGGTTGTAAATCCCAGGAATCTGCAGCCAACAAACTTCAAAGCAGAGTATCTCAGATTTTTTTTTCCATTTAAAACATTTTATTAATTTGTGATCTGTTGCATTTTAAACAAACTGCATTTGCATATAGAGCTCAAAGAATTTGGACCCAGAGCTGTGTGCATTGATATCCACAGATGTATTTTATCACTTTATTACATTAGAAAATGAAAAATATTGGGGGTGGGGCTTGGCAGCCAAGATGGCGGCTCTGGCATACTCAAGCTCTAAATAAGCCAATCTCCTGGTGCATGCTCCCACCGCAGCCCCACAACCCCCCCCTTTGGACTGGTGGGGAATAACCCAGTCCACAACGGAGAAACTCACCAGTCTGCTGAATGGACAACTACATGGCATACCCAAGATTGTCTCCGCATCGCAACACTCCCACCACCAAAAGTACTTTATTATCCTGACCGGGAGGGAGCGTTTTGATGCCAAATTCGATTGACTGTCCGGAGTTTTGGGAGCGAAGCTACAGCAAACCTCACACCATTACTCCACTGTCAAATGCTCAACATTCAAGCTGCAGTAACTAAACACCGACCTCAGTGGGGGCCCACACAGAGGAATGTACTACCAGCCAGTTACTTACCTGATGGTTACTCGACTTCTGGAAATCCCTTGGACTGGAGACTCTGCCGAGAGGTGCAGGAGGGTCTGCAGACATACGGCTCGAGCTCCCCATAAGGCTGTGGTGGGTGGAAAACCTCGGTGCAGCGGTTCACCTACAGCTCACACACCCAAAGTCCGGCTATCTCCGAACTACAGTATGTGGGGGAGAGACAGAATACCTGGAATGGTGCTTAACTGCATAGTGTTGCCAATGTGTGGTGTGGGATGAAGATCTGGTGTTCGTGGTCCTGTGCATTCACCATTAATCCTGTTCACAGTGCAGGGATTCCACTATTTCTCTCCTTGACTCCAATTGTTGACAAGCATCTAGTGGCATTATCACTTGTTAATCGTAACATGCTATAGCATAAGCTCTAGTGGTTCGCGCTGGTTTCAGTTACTCCTTCACAAGTTGTTCTAGCATAATGTGCATACGCTCATTTCCCAGTCACGTCTAGTATTTTCCTGGGCCTACTATAGGTACTTCGACAGGTTTCTCTAGCCTGTCTACTGCATAGTTATGTATCTTGTGCCTGATTTTGCTTGTTTTATATTGGTCTATGATCTTTCTTGACTTACAGAAAACAAAAAAATGCAGTGTTATCCTATGACATTTTATATTTATTGCTAAAAATGTCCTTACATGCTTGTATGTTTCCCTATGCACTAAAAATATATATATATATAAAAAAAAAGAATAAAAAAGGTGACCTGCTTTGCTTGTGCGATGCAATCTTATCAAGATTGTATCAGCCTTGTTCCATTTACATGATTGTGGGTTGATATTAATCCATTGCCAATTCGATAAAAAATCCTGCAGAGCCTACACCAAAAAGGCAACAAAGAATAAATATATATTCACCAACCAAGGCCTGACCCCTCTCCTACAGATACAGACCACGGCTCATACTACATTTCAGACCTAAAAGAACAAATAGTTATGTTTTATCCAGTAACTAAGTTTTCCTTTTTTGCATACTTTAATTTATCTATACAGGTTTAAAAATGTAAACCCCAGGAGTGTAGAAAAGTATGGCGCAACCTTTATAAACCTAACGCTAGGATTTGACCCCCCTACATACATACGTTGCCTGCAGCAAGTTCCGTGGTAATAAGGGAGGTTATATCAGAACACCCACATATTCCATTGCACCTTATGTTTACTACTCCAGTCTTGTTCAAAAATCCACTCACCCATCATTCCAAGGTTTCTCCTAGCCCTCTTTTTGTGAATAGTCAAGGCTCAGTTCTCAGCCTCCTTTTCACTTCCATCTATACAGCCTCTAATTTGTTCACCAGTCAGCAAATTAAACTAATTAGTAGGAAAAAAAATTGATTAGGAAAAAGGTCTCCAATTCTGCTAGTCAGAGCTTGGCTATCATTGCCACAGTTTATTTCCAAGTCCTGCCCCAATACAGAATTCATTCTTCTTTCTGTCTCCCACTCCCAGGACATAAATTGCCTTGATACCTTGCTCTGTCAGACTATCCCACTTATTCAAACTCCATAATCTCCCTTAGATTTCAGAAGGTTATCAACTACATGTTATTTTCACTGTAAATATCCTTTCTTTGCTTTAAATCCCTCATCACAATATTATCTTCTGTGCAGCAACTCTCAACCATCCTTGACTGACCTAAAGCATGGACTGTTATTATGTAGCAATTATATGCAGTCATGGGTATATTAAAATGTCTTGTAAAAAAACAGATTCTGCATTCGTACTAAAGAATCAGGTTCCACCGATCTTATCTTTAAAATGTTAAAGGGACACTATAGTCACCAAAACAACCTTCTCTTAATGAAGCAGTTTTTGGAATAGACTATGCATTTGAAGTTTCACTGTTCAATTATTAAAATCACTTTTTTTTCTGTTTATGCAGCCCTGGCCACACCAATCAGATGTAACTCCCTTTAAAAGGTTTTATCTCCTGCTCTGTAATTTAAACTTTAATTACATACAGGAGTTTCCTGCAATGTCTAGCAAGCTATTAACAGAGCAGGATAAATTCTAAATTAAACAAAGTTTGCAATAAAGGAAATGTAAAAATTACTTTACAGGAAGGCTGTGTAAGTCACATGCAGGGAGGTGTGACTAGGGATGTATACACAAAGTGCTTTAACTCCTAAATGGCAGAATTGAGCAGCGAGACTGCAGGGGCATGATCTATACACCATACCGGCTTCATTAAGCTAAAGTGGTTTTGGTAACTTATAGTGTCACGTTAACATCCTTTTAAATGACATTTAAATAGTTTTGCTGCAGAGACAAGTTTATGATATAGATCTACCTACTTGCATGCCCCTAACCACCCCTCCCCCCCCACACACACAATGTGGTGCTTAAAGGAGCAGTTATAACCACTACATGCTGATTAAGTGGTTATAGTACTATTGGGATTCAAAGGTCATCCAGCTTGGGCTAAAAAAAATAAAAACTGATCAGCTTCAGCCAATTTTAGACAGCAGTGATGAGTTAAGCAGGTCAGTTGATATCTTCAGTAGACAAATTTATTTGGCCTCTAAATGCCATGGTATTCCACGTGCTGGAACAGGTTCATCAAAAGTATTTAATATAGAAAATATCACAAAAAATTTACAAACCAATTTTTTTAATCAGACATCCAGATGTGATATAAATATATACAAAATCACACACATTTATATACACATGTATAGAATATATACATCAATACAAAACTCTGCTCAGAAGATTAAGTTTCAACATAAAGTAGATCTTCACTAGAATACGATTGTAGGCTCTGTGTTATGTAGATTAGGAAAAGGCAAGTAGTGAAGATTGTGAAATGTGTAAGACATGAAGTGGTTTCTCCCACTGCACTGTCCCTTTAAATGCAGGCAAACTGAAAATATATATTAAAGACTGCTATTTAAAGGGACACTCACCACCATAACTATAGTTTATTGTATTTGTTATGATGCTCCAAGTTTCCCTTTAACCAGTGCTCAACCATTCAATCGCAAGCAGCTCTCATTGAGCTGAACAGTCACTCATAAGAACAGGCTCACATGAATCCTACAGCAAAATGCGTTGGGGAAGGGTAAAGTGGCACAGACAGTACTTCACAACTAAACATGGAACATTCAGAAAGTGCATAGAAAGGATTGTCTAACAGATTAGTGCACAAGATACTCGAGCTGGAAGAAGGGGAAAGAAACTCGTGGAAACTTCTCCACAAGGCAACTGCCTTGATTTCTATTTTTTTATCCAGCCAATGAAAAGCCTCCAGTACTGGAGGAAGATAGTGGCATGCCTCAAGCCTTCCCGCCAGTGGTTACCCCCAATGCACACTTGTTCTCCTGTGAGCTTTCACCAGACTTCACATTTCTTGAGTGGGTTCATAGGCGACCCCGCCGGGCACTGGAAGTGTCTTGCAAATTCTTTTGAGTTGGAGACTGAGCCTATGACACGGAAGCGGGATGGGCTGTGAGGATCAGTAATCAAACCCTCATGTGAACTCTCAGCTGTGCGCACCGAACACCACACCTGCAAAATAAAGACCAGCGAATGGCTCTTTACGACACCAAGTCTAATTCACAACTGTACAGGTTACGTTCGGACAATACTGAGCCTTTCAAACTATGGTTTCAAACAGATTCAAATTTTTATTTTTAACATGACATTGGTATACAGTTATATTCGTATTGGATATGAAAAAAAATAATACTAGATAGGCTGACTCAGGGGTCACTCATTTGGCCGGTGGGTCAGTGTTTGGAATGCCCTAAAACTATTCTTCCCAAACGGGGAATAACCCACAATGTATAATCACTGAAAAGGAGAAAAGAAAATGAGACCATAAGGTCCTAAATGGAAGAATAGTGCAACAAGGAAAGGGAGCCCTACCTTTATTAGTCCTAATGATGGGAGCAATATTAAAATGGACAAAAAAAATAAGGGAGACCTAGGAGAAGGTAGTGGTTTGTCAAAACACATCCAAATCCTAACTACTAACCTACTCAAAATAACCAGGCTACGTCGAAAAAATCCATGCAAGCCTAGGTGACTGTAAATAGAGTGTAGGAAATAGACAAAACAGGTAGTAGGAGGGAAGAACACTGCTAGGCTAATTGAGGGATGAACCCAAGCACCTAACCTGAAAAGGGGGGAGGGGGAGGACTCCCAAAAACCCAAGCCCATTTCTAAGTCACTATTAAAAAGGAAAAGAGTATTAGTAGTTATGTACCTCGGCACTGTGATATGACACACAGATGCCTACCTGTATACCTCAACCTGCCTGTCCAATTAGCTAGTATACATAAATTAACCTAAATAGAAATCCATAATTCTGTGCTACCAAGTAAATGAGTATCGGATATATAAATGGTTCTCCTATACGGTTTAGCAAATGCTACATCAAGGGAACAGTCATTGAGTTTTAAAAATGCTCAATACCAGCCTTTTTATTCTTTGGAAAGACATTCAGCATGTTGGTGTGCCCCTTTATCTGTGTGCCAGAACAGTAAAATGCACTCATTCACCTGAATGGATTTATCTGGATTGGATCAAGAACAACTTTCTCTCAAGGATTCAGTTCAAAAAGGCACCAACAAGGGCCATACAATGCTTAATTGGAACAAATATTGCTCCATGAGTTAAAAAACAAAAACAAAACAAAAAAACAAAAAACAACACAGTCCTATGGAACCGCATGCATTTAAAAGTAAATCCCCCACCCACAAATAATGAGCGCAATTAGCGAAAGGGAACACCCCATTCGTACCATACCAATAAGTAATTTTATTTGCTGTAAGATTTCACCAGACATTTCTGAACTGCCGAATATCCCACTAAAGCAGCATGGCAGTAACAAAGACTTTAATACTGGGTAAGAGGCATCACAGAGGGCAACAGTTTGAAAATTCTTTAAGATGTTAAAACGCACAGAGCTTTGTCGACAATAAAGCAAACTTTATAGACTAAACCCCCACACATCCACACAGACTGTTCTTACCTGTGCAAAGCCCACAAAGAATAACTGATCGTTGGAAAGGTCCAGTGATGGCAACAGCTTTTCCTCCCCATTACTCCGCACCCAGTTACGGTACGCCTGCAGAAGAAAGAACGAAAGCCATGTTAGGAGGATTGTAGGTTCTGCTATTCAACCATTTCAGGTAAAGAGGAAAATTAGTGACAATCATTTATGGTTTATTTTATTTTATAATACATAACAAGCGTGTCTGTACAATGAACTGTAACCAGTAAACAAGGAAAAGGGGAAGGTTTCTACAGAATAAGTCAGGTTATCCTCCTGCAACACTCACCCACATGACCAACATTGAGCCAAAAATCCTGAAAAATCATGTATAAACCTTGTTTTCAAATCTCACTACAACATACAGGGAGGGACCTTTAACGCCAAACACCAAATCTAGTCCAGTCCAAGTCTAGTAACCATGTAAACCCTCCCCAGATATTACATGGAGCAATGGCATCAAGCAATTAATTCCCACTTGATCAATTAGAGCAAATAAGTGATAAGTACGTTTACAACAACGGTTCAATATTTCCACTCTCCACTAGCCATTGGCTGGAGAAGATTTAGCACAGGTTAGGTTGCCATGCACCCTCCAGGATTATAGTGGTAACATTTAGGCCTGTGAATTGGAGGAAACCAGCAAGAAAGCCGGATGGAGGTCGAATGGGGCAAGGACAAATGACACCCGATGAGCAGCCACTGAAGGTGTCCCTAGAAGGCAATGTAAACACAGCCCTTTATCTGAAAAGGCAGTGTTTACATGTAGTTCTGGTGAGTATAATTATTCACTACAGGCAATTTCAATAAGCTGCAGTTATTCTGGTGTCCCTTTAAATAACTTTAAAAAACTTGGTGAATAAAAGACGGAGTATAAACAAATGAATAACCTGCCATTTGACACTAATCTGTTGTAAAGAAGACTTTGTTAGTAGGATGAGTAATGCTAAATTCCAGGTCTGGGCTTCCATTGGTAGGAAGGAATAGATCCTGCATATCCCAACCTTTACTCATGCCCCCACGTTTCAGTAACTCCTCTGGAAACCCTTGCTATGGAAGATTTACCCGATATGCAGCCTTCAGTCCTCCGTTGTCTGCAATGTTTTCTCCCAGAGTGTGCTTGCCATTCACTGGCTCTCCATTCACAGTGTAATTCCCATACTGCTCCGTAATGCATTGAGTCTGCTTCTTGAAAGCTTCTATAGAAGAGTTCTTCCACCACGGACGAAGATTCCCATCTTTATCGTACTCCCGACCTGAATAAAGATATGCATTAACTCAACCTTTGGGAGTGCCTGCTGAACAAACAAAACGTCCAATACCTACCTTGGTCATCAAAGGCATGCGTTAACTCATGGCCCATTACAACTCCAATACCACCAAAGTTCAAGGCCCTAAAAAAAGAAAATAGAAGTCCTTACTTAACATTCTTAATCGTAGCAGCAAGAACGTGTTAAAAGGCATTCTTAAACAGCCTTTAAATGTCTGCTCTTTGCTTGGACAGACAGCATATATTCGTGGTGTCCCAGTCAAGGCAGAACTTGGTGGACATTACCCTGACTGCCCCTTTGCACTGCTGGAAACCATAAGCAAAAGGTCAGACACTCCAATGCACAAAAAAAATAAAATAATCTGTGTTTAGGATATACACTCCACCCTCCACCCCCCCCTCCCCCCAAATAAAAACAAACATACATACTGCATTACACTTTTTTCAAGCAACCAGGAATATGACTGGTCTATTTGAAATCTAGGGGAGTATGACATGGTTAAATTTATATATAATAAAAAAAAAAAAAAAAGGTACATTTCTAGCTAAAGTGCTTTAAGGGTCTGGAGTGTCCCTTTCAAGAGATGGTTCTACCAAAGCAGCTTCAAACCAGACTTCTTTGCCTCTAAATAGCGTAGTATGGAAATTTTAATCTGGACAGTTACAAAATCTGTGCATACTCTGAGCTGCTGACAGATTAAACTGAATCCTTAATATTGCTGCAATACTTCACATCTAAAATAAAGGATATAGAATGCACATGTAAAGGACCGTAAAGTAATTTAAGTTAGTCACTAGAAAGACCATAGTGGTGATTTATCTGATATCGTAAGTGGAGGGGGTCAAAATCAAAGCATTTTAGAAAGCAGCCTTTGTATATTCCACCAGCTCCTCCCAAATTATGTACAAAGAATACAGTTTGAATATTCTGTACTGCTTTTGAAGCCAAAATTACTGGCATAAGAAAAAACTAATCTGAACCCAAATGAAAGACTGAAAGGCAAAAGTAATAGCTGGAAAAAGCAATACTATTTAAAAAATAAAAATTAAAGGACCACTATAGGCACCCAGACCACTTCAGCTTAATGAAGTGGTCTGGGTGCCAGGTCCAGCTAGGATTAACACTTTTTTCTGTAAACATAGCCGTTTCAGAGAAACGGCTATGTTTACATATGGGTTAATTCAGCCTCTAGCGGCTGTCTCATTGACAGCCGCTAGATGGCTTCCCCGCTTCTCACTGATTTTCACAGTGAGAAACACGCCAGCGTCCATAGGAAAGCATTTCCTATGGACTGGCTGAATGCATTCAGCCGGTGACAGAAGAAGAGGGAGGAGGAGGAGGAGAGGAGCTCCCCGCCCGGCCCTGGAGAAAGAGGTAAGTTTAACCCCTTCCATACCCTAGAGCCCGGTGGAAGAGGGACCCTGAGGGTATGGAAGGGGTTAAACTCAGGGCACTATAGTGGTCCTTTAAATGCAGATATGGAGCTGCGTATTTGGAAACAATTTGACTTCGGGTCCCAGGCCTTAAAAAAAAAAATAAAGTTTGAGATTTTGTAACATTTTGGGATATGTTTTGAGTAGTTCATGTTTGGTATCAAGTCTTGGCTGAAGATCTTTCAGAGTATTAATGGCTACATTAAACAGATGTTAGTACCTACATGGGGGAGGTGCTCATGTAGAATGGAGCTTGGAGGATCCCAGCAGGAAACACAATCTCATTCTTGGTGGGGGAATAGTAAGCATTGACTGTGGGAGGCGTCATACTCCATCTGTTTGGGATGGGAGAATCAACATTAGACAGAGCATATCAATCTGCACCGGGTAAAACACTTTACAAATCTTACATTATTTGCCTGTCCCAAACATACATATACATCTATATATATATATATATATATATATATATATATATATATACACATACACATATACATACACACACACACACACACACACACACATACATATATATATAGCTACAGCTCGTACATTACAACATAAAGTTGCACCACCACTGATCTCCACAGAGGGGAGCAAGACAAATCACTTTTCCAAGAAAACTATTGCACAACATCAAGCCAGTATTCTGGGTACACTGTTGGCAGAACAAGTACATGCTTGGCAACATGACACTTTCATTGACCCTGAATATTAAACTTTGTTTAATGCTTCTGCAGTGACTTATGCAGACATTAGGAAATTGATATTCATGTCAATCCTGTTGCACTCTGATTTCAATAGACAACCAGTAAAAGTTGTGCAGCACTTAATGTGGGCACTGGAGGGAAGAGATGAGAAAACATGCAAGTTGAAAGAAGCCTCTGCTTCCACGCATGCACTGGTTTCTCTATGTAGTAACTGAGTGCATCAGCTTGTGCACATACAGCACTCTAAACTAAGGGAGCGTTTACATCGTCAGAACACACGCACAGCAGCTCTCATTAAACAGGACAGTACGTGAGCCGCTGGGGTCTTTAAATTCCCGTTCTACATACGTAGTCTGTTTGGAAAAACGACTTGTTCATCGTGTGCCTAGAATAAGATTTCGTACAGAAGATGCAAGTAGTTTACTGGAACTTTACATTCAGGAAAAAATAATGGAAAGGTTCCAGCTCTGTTTTGTCCTATGCACATCAATTTGTACAGCTTTTCACAATTCATAGTTTAGTGAATAAGGCACTTTAGGAAATGAGTTTGTTACAGGTACCTTAAGAGTTTTCTATAAACAGCCATTCTGTCATCTAATAGAACGTTTGAAGCATTGATAATAAACACTATCACAACCATGGAAAATCATACTACGATGAGGCTGTCCCCACTGAAGTCTCTTTCCAGTTTAGGTAAAAGGGGAGGTGGGAATAGTTTATAAGGAATATGAATATTTTCTACAGAGGAAATGCATGACACTGGATACTTTTTACATGAAAATCTAAACATCTCTCTTATGGAATTCTACAGACCTTTTTAGATCAGAATTTCAGCCACACAGAAATAGATTAGTAGCAGGCTCTTAAAGTCACAACCCACAGAATACAGAATCGTGTGAAAGTTTACTCTTACTGGTCTTTGTTGGGTGCTTTGCGCAGCTGCTCAGTGGTCACACGTGCAGAGAAATTGTAAAAGTTCATCACATTTTCAAAATACAGATCAGAATACACATCATACTGTAAAGTGAAAGAAAAGTCACACTATAGGATATAAATGGTTAATCAGGGCACAAGATAGGTTTGTGTTTTCACAAGGGCAGGTCATAGTTCAAACTGGCCTTTGGTCTGCATTTCCCATGGGGAGCACATAGAATCTTCCCAAAATGACTGAGCCACTCTTCTGTATCACCCCTTCCTCATGCGTAAATACAAGCTCATCATGACACACCCAACTCAATTCACAGGAACATTCTCTCAAAAAAGTAGATTTTAAAAGAAAGACCTTTAAGTAATAACCAGTTTCACAGTAATTGTTATGTAGGACTCCGTGCAGGATATACAAGAAATCTAAACCCCCAATTTTCTATTGCCATTTGACTGTGATTTGCAATATCCTATTAACTCGGCTCTGTCAACCCCCCCCACCCCCCAATCCAAAATTAGTACTTCATAAAGATAAAGCCTTTTTAGGTACTCCTATTGACTGCTGGAATTTCACTGAAACTCTACAAACAGTCAAAAGATATACTATGACAAAGTAAGGACTAAAAGGCAAAATCAAGCCTTGTCAAAACTTGTCAACCCTCAGCTAGTGAAGATGTAGGGGAAATGCTCTGTCTGTGTAGGATTGCACATGTTCTCTCCTGGCAGCTGAATGCCAAGAGCTGAACAGGACTGAAAGGAAGAGGATGGCAGCACTCACAAGGGACAGGCTTAGCGAGTATAGCTCTCCTTCCCTGAACCCCTGGCCAGCGGACACCCAGCAGCAATGTAACGCTCAGGAGGGGGGTCTTTGCAAATGATGGTGACACAGCCGCTTTAACCCAGTCAGCCTTCTATAATAAATGTTTACCTGATGACTGGGTCTTGCCAAGACAGACCACTAGACAGCCGAGGCTGATGAAATTAGAAAAAGTGTCACTCGTATGTTTTAAACGCTCACAATGACTAAATCCTTGCAAAGAATCAAGGGGGTTCTAAATAATTAAGGGGAAGGCATTTGGCCATGGCTCGGTTATTGAATAGTGAGTTGAAACCAAGCCAGGTACTAGCAGCACACAAAGTGTACACTTACTTCATTGAACACTTTGTCCAGTTCCTTAGGATCTGTGATGAAGTTGGGGTAACCAATCATATCATAGATTGCTTCAGCCTAAACAGGAGAGAAATTTAAAATGTTACATATGTCCAATATGCCGCTTTGCACGGCGCCAGAGTAATCGTCATTCCTAGATTAAGTCTGCCAAACGCTCACTCCTTCACATTAGCAGGGTCTATCCCAAAACCTTCTGTGGAGGCCATTCCCCAAGTAGCAAATTCCTTCCCTAGCACATAAAACCAGTGGCTATAAAGCCACAGTGAATTCACTAGCACACCCTCCATCCTTGCTAAAAGCTAGGCAACAGCCCATTACTCCCTCCCAGATAGCCAGTCACCTGCTACCCACATTAATAGACATTCTCTCCCTCTCTACCCTGATAGCAGGCATTAAAGGGACACTCCAGGCAGCAAGACCACTTCTGCCCATTGGAGTGCTCTGGGTGCCAACTCCCATCACCCTTAACCCTGCAAGTAATTATTGCAGTTTTTATAAACTGCAATAATTACCTTGCAGGTTTAATTCTTCCTCTAGTGGCTGTCTATCAGATAGCCCCTAGAGGGACTTCCGGCATCTTAAAACACGAAAAGTGTTTTAAACGATGCTAGACATCCTCACGCTATGCATTAGAAGCTCCAGCGTCGCCAGAATCCCCATAGGAAAGTATTGAATAATGCTTTCCTATGGGGAGCTTTAAAGCGTGTGGCCTTTGCTGCACAAGCGCATTAGGTCCCCCCCTGCTGGCTCACATAGGGACATCGGCGCTGGATGCAGGTAAGTCACTGAAGGGGTTTTATACCCTTCAGCAACATGGGATTGCGGTGGGAGGGATGGGGGGCACTGCAGGAACCTGCAGTGCCAGGAAAACTGATGTTTTTCCGGCACTGGAGAGACCCTTTAATTACCATATCCAGACAGAATGCTCTAATCAAATTGCAGTTTTCAGGCAGCCAAAATACACACCTTCTCTCTCGCTGCCTTGCGCGTTTCTTCATCCATCCAGCTCAGGTTGCTCAGACTCTCCTCAAAAGCAGTTTTGATCTCTCTGATCATTTGCACAGCCTGTGGAAAAAACGTGATGCACATCAGACTTTCAGTGAAGGAAGATTTCCCACAAATAATCTCTCTTATGATATACCGACATGCCTAGAATGCCAGACACATCCGATAGCTGGTAAAAAGTCCAGCCAGCAAATAAGGTTGGATTCGCCTTCTGAAGTACCACAGCAGAGTGAACTCACCTGCACCTTACTGCTTTCAGCAAAGGTAGCATTGACAAACATGGCACCCAGCGCAAAGCCCAGGTTGTTATCAGTGTCACTAATGCAGAACTTCCAGCGAGGCAAACACGTCTGAGGGGGATAAAAGGACAAGGTTAGGCACTAGTTTCTGTAGAGCAATTCTAGTACACCATACATGCAGTTAATAGGCGTTGCACTTCAAATATCCATTTCTACTGTGATACGAGGGCAGCGGTCTGAAGCAGGGGTCATGCTTATTGAATCCCGATCTCCACATTCCTGTAGAATTATTCTTCATTAAACTATAAGATGCAGGGAGTAGACAAACTGTTAAATATGTAGGCAACAAGTGATTTATAGAATCTTCAAGGGCCAATGAGGGCACAGTAACCGTTTAATCTCATTGAAGTGGTTATAGTATCTAGAGTCCCCTGGCACCACAGTTTCATTGAGCGTTAAGGTTTTAAGGATCAGCAACAGACCCCAGCAGCCCATCCCCTCTGTGCTGCTTGTGTGAACGAGGAAGCATTTTCAAGAGTGTCAATGGGTCGCTGTGACAGGATGAAAGTGGTCAGCTGACCGTCTCACACCAGCAGTGGTCCGTGATTGGCTGAATCTATATGGCTGTAAGGAAGTGTTTAATCCCTGCCTTGACCACACTTCCAGTGGAGGGCAGGCTGTGAGTCAACAGAAATCCTTATTTGGTATTAAACTGCTCAAAAATGCTTCACCGCTGAATGGAGGGACATCACCAGAGGATTCGCAACACTAGAACCAATTAAATGAGATTAAATTACACACTCACTCAACCCCCTTTAGTAAAATACTTTTAGAGAATGCAGTGTTAAATGAAACCTTTTCTTCCATAATTTTATTTTTACTGTAAATATGGGCGTTTGGTGGTTATTTCCACAATTGTAAATAGTAATTATTGTGAGAGTAACTCCTTAGGATGTCTGTCAAATAGTTTTTTCTGTGGAAAGCTTAGCTTTTGACAGCACATGTTAAAATACATTAAAAAGCAGAGAATGTGAAGAATTTCCCCATGTTCTACAGAGGGAGGGAGGGGATAAAGGGCAAATCTAAGCTTCCATCCAGCTCCTCCGCTCCACTTCCTGCCATTATAATGCCACAATGCTGGCCAGATAAGACACGTCCACATTACGGTCTTAGCTGAGTTGCGGTCAAATACATAATTGAATACACGAAATGCCCACCCACCTCTCATTCTTAACTTAAAGGAATCTCCAAAATATACCAACAATCTCTTTAGATTAGCGCAGACATATCCACCATAACTCCATGTTAATAAAAATAAAGTGCTGCCCTGTAGTATGTAGGCATTTGCTGCAGGATTCCTTATTGATAAATTTCAATCTGCAGCTTCTGAATTGTATTCACTACAAGGAACACTTTATGACCTGCCCATCCCTACCCACAGCTGTCACTGTATGTATCCAAGAAGACAGGATCAATATGGCAACTCTCCTTCAGAGTCCCAGTCCCAGATAAGAGGTTGCTTGTGAGGAGAATGTTATAAACCAAGACTTTCAGTCAGGAAATCTTTACTATGTGGTTGTTGTAGATATCCTGCACCCATTTTAGATTGTAAGCTTATCTGGGCATGGCCCTCTTCACCTACTAGTCCCGTATGTCAATCATTTTGTCAGAACGGATTGTGTTTGTTGTACAGCGCTGTGAAATATGTTGGTGCCCTAAATTATAGCGGTTCCGGTACCCCTCACACCTTTTTAGTCCCATACATGACTTCCATGAACTTCTCCTCAGCGTCCTGGAAGCGCTGGTCAAGAAAAGAGCTGGCCTTCCTGACTACATTCCACACAACGTAGTTATTAAGGATCCTGTGATGGAGAGTTACAAGTCAGCAGGATGCAGAAATTTTACTCTTTAAACCCAGAGTGCTCACATGGCAGAGCATTCAACTTTTACCTTTTGCTAGTGGAATTGATAAGAGCAGACACATCTATAAGGTATTCCTTGGCGTAAACCACCACAGGTTCCGTCTCATTGATCTCCACTGGGTGGAAGACTGTCTGAAGTAGTGCCATCCAATCAATCACAGGGGCAAGAGTCTAGGGGCAAATGAAAGTTATCAGTTAAAATGTTTTGAGAAAAAAATAAAATAAATAAAATCGGCTAAATGTTCTCTTGTTCAGTCTTGCCTTAACATTAAAAAAAGGCAACCCGAAACACTCACCACTACAGTCTTCTGCAGTAGTTATGGTGTCAGCATGGCCAGATACCTGTCAAACTGTTAAAGCAATTAAATACAAAGGGCCACCTAGGCATCCAGTACATTGCCACCAACTCTGCATATTACACACATACATTAGCAATATCAATTCCATCCATATTTGGATACCATTCACTGGTTAAGACTGACAGCTGACACATTCAACCAATGAATGCCACTGAAATTTAGACAAATTGAAGTAAAAAGAGCCAAGATTTTTTTATGTTACTTTGAGCCTCTATTGAAAAAAAATAAAATAAAAAATAAGCCATCAGTAGCCAATATGGCAATGTGCATTGGCTAACCACTTACCTTAAGCTCTCCTGCAGTTATCTTGTGATAGATCACTTCCTCATCTCTGCGTTTATCCTGAGGGATAGTTATGTTGGCCAGGGCCGTCTCAAAGTCCAAGATCTCCTGCATCTGCTCGCGCGTATTATTCTCGCTGCCTCCCAGCAGCATCCCAATTTGAACCATGAAGTTAAGATATCCAATGAGGACCTGGTAAAATAAGGACAACATTAGGACAAGATCAAGACACCACAACGGCCAAACTCAAGTGAAGTGTGCCAGGCAAAGGTAGGGGTCCTATTAGCAGATACCTTCTCATTTTCAGTTTTATTCAGGTAATAATCCCGCGATGGTAATCCCAGTCCAGACTGGTCAATCTAGGGGGAAAAATGGATGGGTACAATTTATCACTCATTCAGGCTACATGGAGAGTAACATGTTTCAGCTAGATGCCCAGCACTAAAGAGACTTTACAAAGAAGATCAAACATGGTATGTGAAATCCTGCACTAACTCTCCATCCTGGAGTTCTTTATAAGTAAAGGCACATGAAAAAACATTGCTGCTTTCATTGCAGTGTCTAGATACAAATCAACCACAGCTGTGCTTTCGCCCTTCCGAGTCCACCCATCTCGAGGTTCTGTGTGGCTATCACAATGTTCTAGAGAGATGGTGATCTGGAGGCAGAGTACAGAAAGTATTGTTTTGCAGAAGTAAAAGTCTTAGCACTTTGAGAGAGAGGATAGCAAACCAAAGTCAGGACTGACAGTGAGCAGAAAATGTTTATGCAAAGCCAACCTTCTATCTACACCAAGGAAATGCCAGCTGCTTTTACAAAAGCAAAGAGGAGCATTCTCTGGTGATGCTAGTGATTTATGATGGCATTCTCTGGTGATGCTAGTGATTTATGATGGCATGTGTAAACCATTGTAATAAAAAGAGACGAAAGCAGAAGTAATTTGCTAAACTTCCCTGTATTTCCATTTAAGATGAAAGAGAAACATCCGTACTCACCTGTATAATGTTACTGCTGGAATTTTTGGAATCTGCACTGACAAATATGGAGAAGAAGGGAGAGGCGCGGTAATAAGCCGTTACGGATTGAAGAATCTCCTGGAAATTGTTCCGATCCCATGGGCCTGTGATATTCCAGCCACCAAGCTACAGCAGGCAAGGAATAAATGGGTTAAATGTTAAAGCAGAAAGAATGTTCTAATTCTGAAAAAGTGTAAATGTTTAAAGGACCACTATAGTGTCAGGAAAACAAACTAGTTTTCCTGGCACTATGTAGTCCATAGGTCCCCTTCGGCTACTTACCTTTATCCAGCACCAGGCTCCCTCGGCGCTGGGAAACTCCTCCCTCTGTAGACGTCAGCTCCGAATGCACATGCGCGACAAGAGCCGCTCGCGCATTCAAACCGCCCATAGGAAAGCATTACTCAATGCTTTCCTATGAAGTCCAGCGTCTCACTGATTTTCACAGTGAGAATCGAGGAAGCACCTCTAGCGGCTGGATTTACCCTCCGTGTAAACATAGCAGTTTCTCTGAAACTGATATTTTTTTTTTTTTAGCAACTGGGTTAAAACTAGAGGGACCTGGCTCCCAGACCACTTCATTGAGCTGAAGTGGTCTGGGTGTCTATAGTGGTCCTTTAAATCAATGTTTGCCAAACATTTACTGTTGGAAACCATATGACAGTTCTACAAAAAACAAAAAATCCCAGAAATAAAAGACTCACAATTTAAATATTTAAATCAACATGACAATCATTTAGGGATATTCAAGTATGTCATGACAGGTCACTGAAAATATGACATCCCCTTTATAAATTAAATATCTGACCAATTTTACCAAGACCCAAGCTTTAGATATTTTTGTAAAAAAACAAACAAAAAACAAAAAAAACCTGACATTTTAATACATAGTATAAAGAAACGGGCAGTCTTGGTAGTATTCACCCCTATGCACACACCTTTTCAATCAGATCTTGCAGCGGTTTGGATCCAAGTGCTTCTATTTTGGTCTCATTCATACATGCTTGGTAATATCGCTGTGCCTTGTGCTCTGCAGCACTGCTAATATTCATAGTAGAGTTTTCTGAAAAAGATGGGGATAAGGAAAAAAGTTTAAAAAGTTATGCATACACAAGCTGCACCTGCACAGTTGGCTGGTTAAACACCAGTGAGCATCAGTAAGTTTCATGGCCTGCCAGAGGCTTGTAACAGAATTGCTCTTATGAGCCGCTAGCTCATGGCCAAACATGCTGGACGAAATGGACACAGATAATGTGGAAATATTAATTCTGTATTTTCAATCATTAAACACCAGGAAGAATAAATGGTTAGATGTTTAAAAAAAAGGAGCATGCTGTAGTGGCCATGATTCTTATAGTGTTCATTAATAACAGGCAGATTTACAGATAGCTAGTAAACACCTCCCCCCTCCATGTTAAGAACCCTCTTCCCAGATGTGGTGTTTGTTCCCCAACTATTCAAACCCCGATTCCGGAATCTCAGATACTGCACTCGTTGTGCTCCAGACATAGCTGTGCAATGCACATTCAGATTGTGCTTATATCCACAGTTCAAAGTTTGTGAAACTACCAGTCAATAACATTTTACAGTTTAAAAGTACGCTACAAATCCATTAGGATGAAGTATTTTCAAGCATCAGAGTCCTCACCCCTTGCACCATACTGTGCCTCCTTGCCCTCAGAGTGCATGTGATGGTGTAATCTGCAATGGTGTTAAAATATTGGCACAGTGTGCATTCACAATGACCATTCGAAAAAGGCGAGTAGAGCTTTTACACTAAACCAGGGCTTGACAAATTTGCTTGGAATCTAGGAGCCAGAGAAATTAACGCCAAAAATACAATAGTGAGTCAGTCAGACACAGAGTCAGTCAGACACACTCACAGACACACTCACATTTTCTGACATACTGACATACAGACACACTTACTCACAAGTCGTTACTTATTTAAATCCACCCAGCCTCCTTACTTCTGAAGAGCTGGAGTGGATAGGCTTTCCCTGGGGTCCAGTGGGGCTGCTGTCATCTACTCACCTCCCTCTTGCGCACTGTTTAGTGAGTCGGGGGCCAGGGTGACTACGCACTACGCTCTGCATAGGCTGGCCGCCCCTCTCCTTCCCCGAGCAATAAATGAGCCGGCCGCCCCACTCCCTCTGTCAGCCGCCTGCCTCCCTCTCACAGCTCTCCGTGATCTGGTCTCCCTCCCTTACTTGTCCTCCCTCAGTCAGCAGCCTTCCTCAGCTCTCCATGGCGACCTGGTGCCTGGGATTTGTCGAGCCCTGCACTAAACTTCAAAAAAAAGGGAGGAGTTTAATCTTAACTTAAGATTTTGTTTAATAATGTATATTAATGCATTTAAAAAGCAGCCTGGAGTAACGCTTTAATGAAGCGGTTACTGTATGTATTCACTGAAGAGATGTAACGTAGGGACATGTGCAGACGGGCCTGGGATTAGCCCGCTACTTACTCCTAAGAGACAAGTCTTCGCAAGTGGCAGATTCATACCAATCAAAATGATAATTTCCAAAATAAACCTTAAATACTTCTGTATGATCCAGCAGGCTAGCCCGTCAAACAGCATCAGAACTTACACTATAGCTGGGGCTCATCCAAATTCCATTCTCTGTGTAAACATTACTAACCAACTTTAACAAGGCTTAATGGCATCTGGCATGTGTACAATCCCAGGTGCTGTATGTTCAAAGAGACCTGTGTTTATTCCAAAATAAAGTGGTTTCATTTCTACTTAAAGGGACACTCCAGGCACCCAGACCACTTCTGCCCATTGGAGTGCTCTGGGTGCCAACTCCCAAAACCCTGCAAGTATAATTATTGCAGTTTTATAAACTGCAATAACTACCTTGCAGGGTCAAGTCCTCCTCTAGTGGCTGGCTGTCTGTTTCCCTGGCACTGGAGAGTCCCTTTAAATCACAAAGTCTGCGCACAATCATTTCTCCCTGCACGTAGTTCATGTTACAGATTTGTCAAAACCCCTACAGCCATTTTCCCAGCAACTCCTCTTTGAAGTAAATGGGGAAGCGATTAGCAGGCCTTACAAGTCTTAATTTGCTTCGAACGGACTCTTAAAAGCACAGCCACGTCCATGGCTCTAGTTTGTGGTTTTCATGAATGAAACTATTTAGTCCTCCTGAACTACACATACGCACTTTTAATACATAAAAGTTTATTAACTTTCTCTTAGTTCTTCATAACTGCAAGCCGCAAGGGTAGCGACATTTTCCGCAGTATTTTAAAATGATACAACAGGGCTGATTGCCAACTTGTTACTCGTTAGATACAAGAGGTGACAAAGTTTAAAGCAAGCTTACAATCAAGGACATCCTCTGAGCCAAACTGGAGTTCGAGGGATTATTTAAGGAGGGTTGCACCCTTATTTTGAGTTCTTATACAAAAGCAAGATACAGGGAGGATCTGGGTGTTCTCAATACACACAGTAAGGCTGTATGACGCAATGGAACCACAGAGCATAAATGCTTCATAAGCATCCTTTGTACAACAGAAAGTCTGACTAGCATCAGCCCGAATTATAAAAAATAAAAATAAAAAAAAAAGTTGTACTAATGTCTTCCTGCTAGATTAACACGTTTAACCCCCTCAGGCACCATGGTTAATAAGTAACACATTCCCTTTACAAAACCTGTATCTTATCTAAACCATTCTCTCCCAGCATTCAGTCTATGGCCTTGTACAGAGTTTCCGTCCTTCGCATGCGATAGGAATATGTCTGTCAGCTGCAGGCCAATCATAAGGCAGCATTGTGACGAGAGTATAGACTTACAATCCAAGCTCATCCAAACCCGCTCTGAATTACATAATGAAACAGTCACATCTGGAAGCTATGCACATTTCAAAATGCAAGATACAAGCCAGATTCAATGGAAGCTGCGTACACATCAACCTGGCTTGTACCCAACACTCACTTCAGGAGGGAAGTTCTGTTCTGAAAGGGGAAGACTTGGCTCTACACAGTTTGTGGGGGCGATGCATCGACGAATACAGAATCAGCTGCTCTTTAAGGATACATTTCATAAACAAATTAAATAAAAAGGAAAGAATCATTTGCCCTTAGAATTAACTGGGCTTTAACGTTCGGTGAAAGGGAAGAACCACAAAAGTTTGGTCAAAAATCACGAATGCATTCAAGTCAGAAAATATTCAGTCCCCGTAGAGTTTGCTGGTCACCCGCTTACCCAGTAGGTGCTTCATGATGGCCTGGTTATGTTCCCACAGTTCATTGAAGGTTCCCCAGCGAGAATGTCCATCAGGGACTGGATTTGACTTTATCCATCCACCACAAGCATAGCTATAGAAGTCCTGGCACGGATCCACAGAGCGATCCAAGGAACGGAGGATGGAACTGGTGACGGACACACAAGGCTCAGACAAGCAAACTCCATTATCTGCAAAAGGAAGGAGGAATCATTACAACCATCCACTGACCAATCTGAACCACATTAACCTGTCTCCACAGCTCCAGTTCTCTGCGACTTACTACATACACAAAACACAAACATGAAAAATAAATAAAAATAAAAGAGCTACAATGGTACAAGAGGTGTTTGGTACAATGACTTCGCATTATGGTCCCCCACACATACTGGCCTCCTCCCCTTTACATGCCATGCAGCACTCCAACACCTAAGCCCGTGTTTACCACATCATAAAATTTTAGCTATGCCACCAGCATTTCCAATAACAGTTCGCTCATTCCCCACCACCTGCAGCAAACATCTACAAAAACATTTACAGACAATCACCGTAACATTTTATTCATTTATATATTCTTCCTCCTCCCAGCACTTACAATTTCGGTACTGCAGCCCCAACGAGAGTAGACATGCCAAGAGGCTCACGCCAAGCAGCAAGACCAGAGCCAGCAACCGCTTTTCTACGTGTGTCCGCTCTGTCCAACAGCCAGGCTTCTGCCGCACTCCACGCAGGTTGACCTTCAGACAAAGCATTAATAGGAATCAAATCATTAAATATGTTAGCAGTTATGCTCTGAGCAGGTTCCAGATGTTTCCATTAAAGCAAACCGGTGTAGATACACTACATGAACATGGGCAAGAGTAGCCAATACGAAGCACAGAAAAGGTGAGGGCTACTCTACAGTGATAGCCACTAGGGATGCACCGAAATGTCGGCCCCAAAATTGGTCAAATTTGCCAAAACTAAAATCCCAAAAAATTTTTGGGGTGGTGCATAGTTTAACAGATATGCTTGCATTAACAATTCAGATGATTATATATCACAATGAAAGATCGTAATAACATGAAAAGTCAAGAATACTGCACCTGGGACGGGGAAGAACACTATGGGACAGGGGAGGGGGGGGGGAAAAACACACTATGGACGGCGAGGTAAAACACTATGGGGCGGGGAAGGTAGGAACACTATGGGACAGGGAGAGGGGGGGAAGAACACTATGGACATAAGCACTATGGGACAGGGAGAGTAAGAACACTATGGGGGAGAGGAAGGGAACCCTGGGACAGGGAGGGTAAACCACTATGGACAGGAGAGAGAGTGAAAGAGAGGGAGAGGTGGGGGGGAGGGGGGGACACTATGGGACAGGGAGAGGTAAAAGCCACAGGGACAGGAGAGGGAGGTACCACTATGGGACAGGAGAGGTGGGGGGACCCACTATGGACAGGGGAGAGTGGGGAGGGGAGGGAAACAACACAGGACAGGAGGGAAACACTATGGGACAGGAGAGGTGGGGAACCCACTATGGGACAGGGAGAGGTGGGGGAGGGAACCACACCCGGACAGGGGAGACCCACTATGGGACAGGGGTGGGGGGAACCCCACACCTGGGACAGGGACAGGAGGGGACCCACATGGAGGAGGAAACCACTATGGGACAGGGGAGAGGGGGGAACCCACTATGGGACAGGGGAGAGGGGGTATGGGACAGGGAGGGGGAACCACTATGGGACAGGGACAGGGAGGGGGGGAGAACCACTATGGGACAGGTGAGGGGGGGAGAACCACCATGGGACAGGTGAGGGGGGAGAACCCACAGGAGGGGGGGACCACTACGGGACGGGGGAGGGAGAACCACTGGGGACAGGGGAGGGGGGAGAAACCACCACGGACAGGAGGGGGAGAACCACTACACAGGGAGGGGAACCACTATGGGAGGTGAGGAGCCACTACGGACAGACCAGGACAGGTGAGGGAAAGACCCAGGGATTGGAGGGGGGAAAGAACCACTACGGACGGGGACAGGACAGGGAGGGAGAACACCATGGGACCTGGGAGGGAGAACACTATGGGGTATGGGGAAGAACACTATGGACAGAGGAGGGGGAAGAACACTATGGGACAGAGAGGGGGTGAAGAACACCACGGACAGAGGAGGGGGTGAAGAACACTACGGACAGAGGAGGGGGGAAGAAACACTACGGGACAGGGGAGGGGGGAAAGCACACAAAAAAAAAAAAAGAGTGAGGAACACTGGGGGGGACACTAAGGTACTGGGGGACTACTAAAAGAGAAAGTGAGTTTTTCATATAAGATTAAATTCATTAAAAAGTAATAAAATTATAGGAAAAATATTTTTCGTTTTTTCGGCCAAGGGCATCCTGAATTTTCAGTTTCGGACCAGAATTCTCATTTCGGTGCATCCCTAATAGCTACCAGTCCATATTGCAGTGTCTGGCAGGATATGAACACACAGCATGACAGAGCACGTGGTTCCAGGATGTCTACACTAACAGTGCACACTTCTCAAATATTCTACCAAGTGGTCAGTACATAAAAAAAGGGAACTATTTTATTAAAATTACTAACAATGACAACCTTCATGTTGATAGATTATTAAAAGTCCCTCCTGGGCACATCCTGCAAAGTCCACGCCGGTGGAATACTGCATTCAGGGCTGACGGGAAGCATGCCATCACATGCTGGGTGGTCTTTGTGCAACAAGCTCAGTTTGACCTGTTTTGGACAATGTAGATTACCAGCCTCTTTTGACAATTTCTCATTTCCCATTATCCCTCCTGCTGGGGACAGTTAGCTCCCTGTGAGGTCATCTCTGGCTCTCGCCAGCTCATGTAAGCAGAGATGGGAGAATTGTTTATAAATGTTTGGACGGAGGATCAGAAAAGGCTGGGTTCATTCCAGCATAAAAAGCTGTTATTCCTAAACACAGAGCAGAGAGCTGCCTGATTGACCAGTTTCTACAGCAGAGCATTGGGGTTAGCAGATTGATCACCTAGAGTGCGAGTGTGTAAAAGGTAAAAAAAAATAAAAAAAAAATAGGAGGGTTGGGGGAAATCAGTGAGATTATATTGCAGTATCACCGTTTCCCAGCATCCATTGGCAATTCAAAGAATACAGAGTATTACCATCAATAAATTGAGAATCTTAATCTCTCCTCTGTTTCAGTTATCAAATGCTGTAATGAAATCTTATACCACCACACCCGTACAGGCAGCCACTGGAAGATATAAAGGATCTACAGGCTAGGACTAGGGTACTTAACGGGGCCCCAACTAATACAGTTACCAAGATAAAAACTTACAGATTTATATCCAAACCTGCAGCCCTGTTCTAGACAGATTAGTTGGTAATTTGAAGGTGGCACTCTAAATGTGGCAGAACTACAAGTCCCATGATGTTCACAAATGATCCGAATAGTAAGCAGAATTTGTGGATTGATAAGCATTAGAAGGTAGTATTTAAATAAGAGCCCCAATGGCTACCACTGGCCTAGCAATTAAAAAACTTTCCTGGATTTGGGGTTTTCAAGGAGGACAGGTGGTATCAAACGCAGGTAGGCTCTACAAAGTGTTGGTGATTCAGCCGCTACGGACTAGTACAGACTGAGTGCTTATTAGCCAGCTGTGTCAGATTCTCTAGTGGACTTTAGAGCAGATGGAGTTCCCTGAATTACGGAGCCTTCAGACTATTTAACCTAGCAACACAACACTTAATGCTCTGTTTGTTGGAAGAGCCGTAGGGCATAAGAACATCTCCCATTGTTTCCCGCGTCACAGTAACCATAATACACCAAAGCCCCACATCCCCTAAAGGGAGAAAGCTCTTTCCGATCACTAGTGAACTAGGGATTATAACCCACACAGTTTTATACAAGCAGCACATTAACCCATTCCCTCCCCAGCCAGGCATACTGCTGAGTCAAGTACACTGCCAAGCATTTGAGGAAATAAAATGTAATTTATAGATAAAGGATTGGCATTCTAAGCACCCTGTATGCTTCTGGACTACATTTCCCATGATTCCCAACCTTAAGGGATATCAAGGTTTGCTCCTGCTGTTCCAAAGACTTATTTCAATGGAGTCTTCAAAGATGGTGTCAGACCTACAACACAACTGGCTCTAGAATTATGTTGGCTACCACAGAATCTGACCTATTTATTCCAGCTATGTATTCTCACATCTCACAGGTTTACATTGAAGTCCCAAAAGGAGACTATGTATCAAAAGAGAAGAGTGTTGCACTCAATCATAAAAATCACTGGGTGCTGACTGAGTATGGGTCAGCATAACCCATAAGAACAGGTCAAAAAACTCTCAGGCACGGTTACACATTTAAGCAAGTTTATTGGACACCACAACGTTTCGACCTGAACCCAGGTCTTTATCAAGCCAAAAGGAGACTAGAACATTAAGAGTTTTTATCTACAGTAGTAATTTCCTGTCCTAACACCTGCACTCCCAAGGCATGCAAATTAGTTTGGGCCATAAAACCTTAACAAGAGGTTGGCATAATCTCTCTCTCTTTCTAAATGTCTATCTTTTCCTTTCCTTTCTCTTTTCTTACCCCATGCTTTACATGGGACCAAGTGTATGCCAGACAAAAAAAAAAAAAAAAGATAAGCAAAAGGGTGGTAACAAGCTCTGTAGATAAAAAAAAAAAAAAACACACACCTTGGTTGACAGCAGAAAAGAGCTGAGTAAAAGGATAATGTACTGAAATACATAATGTATAACTAATTTGAATTGCACGACATGTACTACAGGCTTTTGTACAAGCCGGTATGCTATAACGTTTGTCTTACGGTTTACGCCAAATTGCCAAAATTGAAAAATAAAGAATTAAAAAAAATAAAAAAAAAAGTTGGCATAATGCCCATTTACATTTAAATACTAGTGTGTTTTTTTTGTTTTTTTTAAGAAGCAGTTTTGACAAAAACAGACATGCTACACAAGGAAATAGTTAACTTTTTCCTGTTTTTTTTTTTTTTTTTTTTAACGTGATTGGTCAAACCTATTGTGCATGAGAAAAAAAAAATGTAATGCATTGCTGGGTATATACATCTATGTTAAGACTGCAGTCTGTATAACTCGTTTTGTAAAGACACACATTAATAGGATTTAAATGTATGTAAACGCAAGTTCTTTCTACAGATCACATGGTATCTTCGCTTTCAATTCAGTAGGGACTGTAGTACAAATACCATTAGTGGAATTTGACTCTACCCAAAGACTTTAGCTGTGCCCACTTGAACTGATGTACCCTGACCATGAGAGGTCCTGCTCTGTCGAGCACCATAAGCCAAAGACATTACACATATTTGGGAAACAACCATAAACCTTAAAAAGGTCAGACTGCACCCCTGGATGTTACCCAATTGCAGCTTTAGAAGGCAGGACCTTATGCAGAACTCCAACAAGGTTATTCACTAAATTGAGAATTGTTGAATCAAAGCGTTAAAAAATAAGAGCAGTTTTCAATTTTCTGCTATTTTCACCTTAAATGTAAACTTAACTTGTTATTTACCAACAATTCTCACTTAAAAAGGGACATGCATCACTTTACTTTTTAACCAGGAAACCCTTTTAAAGAAAGCTTTTTCAAATACCATCTTCACCCTCTGTATGTTTTTGATATCACACTATATATTTTATTTCTTTTTATAGATATATTTCTAAGACAGAATATATCAACGTAATTCAGTTTGTATTAATTTTAATTATAATCACTTTGGTGATTCACATTGTTTTCTGCCTTTGGTTTTTTTTCTCTTTTCAAATAAAGCCTGAATAATATAATTAACCAGCCACTTACCCTTTATTTTAGATTTAGCATCCATTTTGTCTTAAACAGATGTTCACTGTGGAACATTAATACAAGTGTTTTTGAAGGGAGAACCCCATAACCCCAAAATCATGGACCAAAATCAGCCCCTCAGCAGCATCTCCAGTCATCAATAAAATGAGGAAAAACTGCAAAAAAAAAAACTTTGTGACAGATACTGTGTTTTCTAAAACACTTATTAGTCTTAATAAAATTAGCATAATCTTCACTGAAAAATTTATGTATAATTCTCTACTGGTAATATAGAAGAAATGCCATTTTAAAAAAGGGTTGCGCCAATTTTATACAATACGTCAGTAGTGAAGAGGTTAAACAACCTCCAGTAGCCCCAGAGAAGTAGGACAAAAGCACAGACTGCTTATTTAAGGATCAGCATGTCATAGAAGGCTTGTTCCCAAGCCCTGTATATGGCAGTCAATCGGTGAAGGGTTAAAGTCGCAGAGAGATTAATAGCTCGGGTTTCTGGTACAGAAGTGGGCCTGGTTCAGATTACCTGTGTGTGTTTTTCTGACACACTAGGAATGTAAACCATTCGCACACACCCACCCTCCTCCACTATGTGCAACAGATCAGATTTCCTGTTTGTCACAGAAAGAAAGGCAATATCGCCAGTACTAAACCCTTCACACAGACATTGCCAACACCCCAGGCTCACTCCATTATTAGGGGCTCAATTTACTGCAGTTTGATGACCTGGGTCTGGTTTTGCAGCAGCTGTAAAGCAGATATATTGACTGGTAAGAATCTCTCCCCTTGCGGATACATTGAAACACTTCGTTTAATAAAAATATGTAAGAAACGGTTACCACTTCCTATTCACAGAATTTTTTGCATCCCACGTAATTTAAGGGGCGCAAATTAAAAATATCAACGGAAACAGAAATCTAGTATTATACAAGGGGGCAGAATCTTGTTATGTAGTGTTCCTTCAAACAATAAAAAAGGTTATCAGGCAGTTACACAACTACAGGACATCATACAAATCTCCTAGAACTGTTAAGAAACCTTTTATTTGCCACACTGGGGAGGACTGCAATTTGTCATAACCAGTGGAATATTTATTGTAGTGTAGCATTCTTATAGATAGATGAATAAATTGAAGTAAACCTTTTGCTGAAATTAACCTCTCTCTCCCCCCAATTTTAACACATGTAGATGGCACAGTGAATACTTTCTTACCTGGACCCCATTTGGATAAACCTCACCCTCACCAATGGAATCGACCAGCTCCTCTTCATCAAGTGTTGCTCTCTTGTAAGCAGACATCTGAAAAGTAAAATGCACAACAGACTCTCTCAAGGTTTCCATCACAAGAAAAACAGAAAAGAAAAAAAACTTAAAAGTTCAAGAACATCCCAAGGGTTGGCTATGGATTACAAAGCCGCACCCGCCCTGCCCTTAGGTAACCCACAAGGAGTGAACACAGCCCGATGGGAAGACAAACAGAAAGAACCTCGGAATTCTGAGAATAGCTGGGGATAAAAGGGCCTAAATGCAAACATACAAAAGATTTTGGAGAGGCCCACCCACAAAAGAACACCCCTTATGTAACTGTCTGCAGAACCCTCAGTAGGAGCAACTGACCAGCAACAGAGGGTCCACAGCAGACTAGAGATTCCAGAAAGAATACATGTCCCAGTTGTGTCTAGTATGTGAACGAGGGGTCCTCTCAACTATGAATATTTTTTTTTTTTTTTTTTTTACTCTGTTTGCCAGAAAACACTTCCTCACTCCACTACGAAGAATATATAGGGGGGAGCTTGGCAGCCGCTCACAGGGAGGGGAGTGCTCGCTTAAACATGCCCTGTTAACCCAGTCTCTGCTGGACAACAGCAGGCAGTGTAAATATGAGGCACTTAACAGAAGGGACATTTTTAAATATATGCAAGATTTGGCACCAGATATTTACTATATCCCAGTGGATACTTGTGCATGTGACCTCATGAGCACAGAGAAACGAAATGCGCAATTTTAACAACCAAAAAGGTCACCCTAATAATTTCTTAGAGAACCTCTAACAAAATATTACATGTAACATTTTCTTCCAAAGCCTAGATCATACAGTAGCTTGAAGAGAGCCTGTAGCAACATTTTAGTGGGCTCAAGATAAAACTACATTAGAGGAAGTAAAACATGACTAGAAGTAGAGATATTAAGTTATTTGAGCTCACAACATCGCCCCTTAACGTGTAACAGCTCACGGTGACCACACAGATTAAAACCCTCCTCAATATTCAGTATGACCAGTCTGGCAATACCCCTCCCTTAGCGTGGCAGTTGATCACCTCTCAGATATCCAGAGGCATGGGACCAAAATATGTCCCAAAGTATGGGCTCTGAGACTGCTTCATCAAATCCCTTTAATCCTATATTCAGCAGTCACCTTTGCCAAAAATAGACCTTGTGGAAGCCATGGGATAGAAAAAAAATAAGTAATAAACCCAGCAGGCCAAGCTTACAGGTAAATTAATTAGCAATGCTTGTTAGAAAGCTTAATCCCAGCTAAGGAAACTATCAAAAGCAGAGATTTCCTTCCCCACTGCCTTCGAGAAACTGCTCGATTCATAAAGTATGACATTTCGAAGGGGGACTCTTTCCGTGGTGAAAAGTGATATTTCTGTGGTAAAAGAAAGTCTTATGACTTGCCTGGTGTGTGTAATATATAATATATATTTATTAATATTAAACTGCTCCCCAACCGCCTCTAACCACTTCACTGCAGCTTAGCTTAAGTCTCTCCTTCTAGATCAGGTAATTCTACAAACAGAGCTAAAGCATGGTCATTGAACCCCTTACCGCATTAATCTCAATTTTATATTTAAATTGAGAATTTGACAATATATGACCTAGCCCTTTAATACGGAATCCTAGATTGCTTATTGGGGAAACCCACAATATGGCTTCCGTGGAAAATATTGAAATCATTTTGCCTCACAAGTCCATTCCTTGTTTCACATCTGAAGGGAACTCATACAAGTGTCCTTTTGCCAACATACATTGCAGTCTGGGTACACTGATGCAATATAACTTGCTTTAATGGAACCTGACCCTTTGTAGACACTACATTCTAGATAGCCATGCCGCTTGCTTGTCAAGATACTTCAAGAGCTGTGGAGACATGGGCACATGCAGTATATATGGCAGATAAGCCTGCCGGCTCAGACACTGGGAAATCATATTTTAAGTGACGAGCAACACAACAGTGACCGCACGTTTAAACCCATTGGCCACGCTTTTATTTACTCTCCCACCACACACAAACCTGGCTCATATTTACACTGCCAGACATTCTAGTTCCCTACTCCTTGACAGTTTTTTTTATGAAAAATCTCAAGACATTTTGAAACATTGAGGATTTTGTCATTGTAAGACTGCTAGTTAGTGGTGGGTTTTGATTAAATCCAAAGATAAGAAAAGGTTTAAGGACCACCTGCCGCTACCTGGAGAGACTGTGGTCAGTCATAGCGACCAGACAAGAGGCCAGATTCATGTTTTTGCCGCTATTTGGTACCTAAATAGCCTGAGCCGCAAGGCAGTGGCCATGTGTAACAAAAATCTGCCTACAGGGCCCAATTAATATTGCCTTAGGGAATCAACTTTCAAACGAAAGGAGGAAGAAGCCAGGACATGCCATTGTTTGGAAGTTCCTGAACCCTGGCCATGTAGACAAAGGTGTGAGAAGAGTTCCTGGAAAATGAAATGCCGCTCACCATTAACATTTAACTCATTCAGTGAGAAGAGCTAAAACTGTAACAAAACTGAGAGCTGCTAGATAAACATTTAACTTTGGCAGCTTGCCAGAGGCAGAGTATAAACACAGAAAGAGTAATGGTTTCTGTTACTAAACTCACTTTGCTACAGATTAACAGAAAAAAAAAAAACCCAGAGTAGGAGTGCCTTGCACCTGTTGAAGAAGTGGGGGGGGGGGAGGAGGAAAAGGGGGCCTTACCCAGAATTATGGGAAGTCAGGGAAAAACACTTCTAAAGATCCAGAGTTAAGCAGGTTAAACAAATTCAGTTTAGGTTGTTACAAGCTGTGTGCCAACGTCACCAGGATTGGTCAACCCTCAGTTAACCGGGGTGGGCGGTGGTTAGTGGAAGGGAAGGGTTAATTGAGAACTGCCAGATATTGACTAGTAGGGGATTTTTAAAAGGATCTGTGTACATTTACACACCAGCCTATGGAATGGGAAACAGCAGAAGGTTCACAAAAGAGAAGTGCAAGACTGCACTGGCTAAACAGAAAAACTAAAAACAACACCTAAAAAGGTCACAGTTATAACATGTTCAACTGGAGTTTCCGCTGATCTAGATAAGAATATCTGCATTGCCAAAAAACATAGTTTAAAAAGGAGTGTATGGGGTTTCAGTATTCACTTAAATGTTCTCAGTCTAACAAGCCAGTAATTCCCTTGAGAATGACAATGCCACAGCTACCATCACAACATCTGGTGACTAATCCAGGCCTGGTTTAGGAGGGTCCTTAAAGTAGAATATGGAGACTGGCAGGGTGGGGGTGCAGTAGTTAAAGGAACACTATAGTCACCTAAATTACTTTAGCTAAATAAAGCAGTTTTAGTGTATAGATCATTCCCCTGCAATTTCACTGCTCAATTCACTGTCATTTAGGAGTTAAATCACTTTGTTTCTGATTATGCAGCCCTAAGCCACACCTCCCCTGGCTATGATTGACAGAGCCTGCATGAAAAAAAAAAAAACTTTCACTTTCAAACAGATGTAATTTACCTTAAATAATTGTATCTCAATCTCTAAATTGAGCTTTAAATCACATACAGGAGGCTCTTGCAGGGTCTAGCAAGCTATTAACATAGCAGGGGATAAGAAAATCTTAATTAAACAGAACTTGCAATAAAGAAAGCCTAAATAGGGCTCTCTTTACAGGAAGTGTTTATGGAAGGCTGTGCAAGTCACATGCAGGGAGGTGTGACTAGGGTTCATAAACAAAGGGATTTAACTCCTAAATGGCAGAGGATTGAGCAGTTCGGCTGCAGGGGCATGTTCTATACACCAAAACTGCTTCATTAAGCTAAAGTTGTTCAGGTGACTATAGTGTCCCTTTAAAATACAGCACTCAGGAAAAACATACACAACATGAACATTATAAAATGGAGATTTAAGAGGTAGCCCAGGCTAAGCTGGAAAGCCATTCTTTATGCCATCTGCCAGGTCCTGGATATGGTTTGGTTGAGCAAGTTTAACAGTTTGTTTACACTAACTTACAAGCCAGTGAACAAATGTAACAAGGTTTACATATTATTGGAACACACAGTATCCAAACATCTGTAAATAGAATGAACTCCTATCTACCAGATAACCCAGTGTGACATCCACCAATACCATACTAGATCTGAACATACAGGGGATCACAGGACAGACAGAACACTAAACCATTAGATCCATGATTTCGATTAGCAAGACTACATTGATACAATTACTGGGGGTTATTTAAAATGAATACAACTATTATAAATACACTGACACTGTATAACCATTAACCCATGGAATAAATCCTACCCTGTGTGTGTGTTCTGGGGCTCAGTCCCCCATTTTAATAAGAGTGGGTACTCAGTGACCACTTTCCATACTCTGGGGATATACAGTGACTGTAAGAGGGAAGCCACCTTAATACATTACTAAATCCTCAACTGTTACCCACCCCCTCCTCCTACAATATACCACCACCCCCCCCCTCCTATATAATCTAACCCTCTCTGCAACATCCCCCATAAACATACCCATATATATTATATCTCATCCCCCTATATACACACACACAACATCCCCGCTATATAACATCCCCGCTATATAACATCCCCCCCCTATATAACACCCTCCTATATAATTACCACTCTCTAACATCCCCCATAAACATACCCCATATATATATATCCCCCCCATGTACATATAACACCCCTGTATAAACATCCCATATATATATATAACATCCCCATACACACACACACACACAATATATAAATATAACACCCCCAGCTGCCTCTCACTAACAAACTCCCACACAGGGAGTGATCACTCGTTCTCACCCCGAGTGCGCACTGACCCCGCTCTCACTCACCTCCCGCCGCTCTCACTCAGGGAAGCTCCGCTCAGTGGTGGAAGCGGCAGCAGCCAGCGCCTCTCCTTCCTGAGTGACAGCTCTGCAGCCAATCAGCGGACAGACCGTGACAGCAGGCAGCGCACAACGACCAATCGGCGCCGGAGGCAGGGCTAGCCCTCACCGCCCAGCCTGGGAAGCGGATCAGTCATAATGTGTCCACGAGGAGAAACAATGAGACGTGACGGGACAGCGCCCCCTCCTGGAGAGAACCCGGCACAGCGCGCCCCCTCCTGGAGAGAACCCGGCACAGCGCGCCCCCTCCTGGAGAGAACCCGGCACAGCGCGCCCCCTCCTGGAGAGAACCCAGCACAGCGAGGCCAGCGCGCCCCCTCCTGGAGAGAACCCGGCACAGCGAGGCCAGCGCGCCCCCTCCTGGAGAGAACCCAGCACAGCGAGGCCAGCGCGCCCCCTCCTGGAGAGAACCCAGCACAGCAAGGCCAGCGCGCCCCCGACACAGCGAGGCCAGAGCGCCCCCTCCTGGAGAGAACCCGACACAGCAGCGCCCGCTCCTGGAGAGAACCCGGCACAGCGAGGCCAGAGCGCCCCCACCTGGAGAGAACCCGGCACAGCGCGCCCCCTCCTGGAGAGAACCCGACACAGCGAGGCCAGAGCGCCCCCTCCTGGAGAGAACCCGACACAGCGAGGCCAGAGCGCCCCCTCCTGGAGAGAACCCGACACAGCGAGGCCAGCGCGCCCCCTCCTGGAGAGAACCCAGCACAGCGAGGCCAGCGGCCCCCTCCTGGGAGAGAACCCGGCACAGCGAGGCCAGAGCGCCCCCTCCTGGAGAGAACCCGGCACAGCGAGGCCAGCGCGCCCCCTCCTGGAGAGAACCCAGCACAGCGCGCCCCCTCCTGGAGAGAACCCGGCACAGCGCGCCCCCCTCCTGGAGAGAACCCGGCACAGCGCGCCCCTACCTGGAGAGAACCCGGCACAGCGCGCCCCCTCCTGGAGAGAACCCGGCACAGCGAGGCCCCCTCCTGGAGAGAACCCGGCACAGCGAGGCCCCCTCCTGGAGAGAACCCGGCACAGCGAGGCCAGAGCGCCCCTACCTGGAGAGAACCCGACACCGCGAGGCCAGAGCGCCCCTACCTGGAGAGAACCCAACACCGCGAGGCCACAGCGCCCCCTACCTGGAGAGAACCCAACACAGCGAGGCCAGAGCACCCCCTCCTGGAGAGAACCCAACACAGCGAGGCCAGAGCGCCCCCTCCTGGAGAGAACCCGACAGCGAGGCCAGAGCGCCCCTACCTGGAGAGAACCCAACACCGCGAGGCCAGAGCACCCCCTCCTGGAGAGAACCCAACACAGCGAGGCCAGAGCACCCCCTCCTGGAGAGAACCCGACAGCGAGGCCAGAGCGCCCCCTCCTGGAGAGAACCCGACAGCGAGGCCAGAGCGCCCCCTCCTCAAGAGAACCCGACAGCGAGGCCAGAGCGCCCCCTCCTGGAGAGAACCCGACAGCGAGGCCAGAGCGCCCCCTCCTGGAGAGAACCCGACAGCGAGGCCAAAGCGCCCTCTCCTGGAGAGAACCCGACAGCGAGGCCAGAGAACCCGGCCAGCCCTCCTGGCACAGCAAGGACGGGGCACCCCCACCTGGAGAGAACCCGGCACAGCAAGGACGGGGCACCCCCACCTGGAGAGAACCCGGCACAGCAAGGACAGGGCGCCCCCACCTGGAGAGAACCCGGCACAGCAAGGACAGGGCGCCCCCACCTGGAGAGAACCCGGCACAGCAAGGACAGGGCGCCCCCACCTGGAGAGAACCTGACAGAATAGAGTGCCTCCACATGGAGGCACCTATACCTGCTAAGTGTCCCCATTTAGGAGACGAAGTCCCTATTTTGGGCCCAAATCCCCCTGTTCTAGTTTAATATCCAGGCTTTCTAGAAGCTCCATGTTGGAGTGTGAATGTATAACGGAGCTCCACAGCAATAATACTCCCAGTATGGAGTCACTACATTAAATGCGCTCAGAAATCACTGTAAAAAAGATACATGGTGCTAAATTACATTTTAGTCCATTGTTCTTAGGAAGTCAAATCCACAGCTGCACCCCCTCACACCCTTAAACTAAGGATGTCCCTCTTTGTATATCCCTCTTTGTATATTTGCAGTGTTGGCAGTATGGGGGTCTGACAGCAACCTAATGCCATGTACATAAAACAGAGAAAAATGTTAGAACCCAGAATAGAATTCATATTTGGGATTTAGTGCTTTCTTTCAGTGTTCGGACAGGGGCTCCCACATTCTAAGGGATTTTTGTTAGAACTATGACAGGCATGGCATTCACGTGGTCAAGGTAATACATGAAAACGGCTTCCCTGCCCGAGAGCAGATGTACGGCTTATGAAAACCACACTGGGAAAAAAAATCCAGTGTCCCAACTGTAGCTCAAAGTGTTCAGAATAGAGACTTTACTCGGGTCAAACTTTTTTGGCTCTACTTGATTTATCATTTGTTTTAGGAGCTGAACATCCTGTTACCAGCAGACCCGCTCTACAGATTTTTATTTTTTTCCATGTTATTCCATGATAAGAGCTATCAGGAGCCTTAAAGGGACATTCCAGACCCCCTACAGTACTTTATGTGTACAGAGTTTGTCCTCTCTTTCAATTTTACAAAAGCGTACAGATTTCAGTAGATATTGCCACTTTTATAACATTGTTACACCCACCTAGCTGTCAGACAACCATTACTGTTACTTCCTGATTTAGTTAGCTCAGTGGAGAAACTAAAGAGGCAGCATTTGCCCAGAGCACCTGCCTTGCAAAGACTTCTCACTCAGCTGCATTGGAAAGTCTGATTGACAGAGACAGTCCATCCATTGTACAGCGCTGTGGAATTTGTTGGTGCTTTATAAATATAAAAACTAACTTATGTATTTGTAACCAGACAAGTTGAGGGCCCTGCTGAAATGAGCTTACCTGCTAAAGGATATAGACTCAATGGGGAAAATATTTAAATGCATATCATTGGGGTTATATTTACTAAACAGTGACTCATTGTTTGGGTAGGAGTGTCCCTTTAACATTTCTTTACGATCAGAGGGTTGGAATGAGATTCGATATGCCCTCATTAGATCACAGATAAGGAAGATGTAGCCGATTTGCCACCATGCAGGTATTTTCCTGGCGGAATGAGAGATTGTTTTTTTTAATTATTCTTTTCTCAAAACAAAGTTCCTTAAAGGAACACTAAAGCATTCAGCATTCAAATCTGCATTCCTTATACTGTCCCTGCCTGTATTAAGGTACCTTTTTGAACCCTGCGGATCTCCAATCCAATGATCCTCATAGAATAGTATTGGGGACCTAATGCACAATGAGCAATGCGCATGCATTCAAACTTCCCTATAGAGCAAGAAATCAATTCTTTCCAATGGGCCTGCCACATCACACAACTGTCTTACTAGAGGTAGACTTAACCCTGTAATGTAGACATTGAGTTTCTCATTGCAGGGTTTAGAGAAGAGGCACACTGTACCCAGACCACTTCAGTGAGGGGGAAGGCGAGGCCACAGTTTGACAGTTAATGTTAATTCCTGGTAAGTTTTCTAAGTGGGAAGAGGAAAATATGTGAATCTGCTTCTTAAATTAGGAAACCATCCACACATCACTTCACTGGAAAGTTTGTAATTTTTTCCCCCAGAGACTGACCAAATAACAGTGTTAGTACTGAGGGCTTCACTTTGACAATACATAGGGCAGAACTACTACCACCGCAGAGAACATGGTAGCCATTCCAGCACAAGGAATTCTTCCTACTCAGATCCAAGCCTGAACAATTGGATGGCGTCTTTAATACCTTTAACTCTACTTTGCCCTGCTGCGCCCAAACAAACCTTATAGCTTTACATGCTACTTTACTGACAAGATTGAACAGCTAAGGAAAGAATTCTCACCACCTTGCCCCTCACTTTCTTAACCACACCATACCTCTCCAACCTTCTCCCAGGCTACTGATTAAGGTGGCTGTGCTTATCCTTTGCTCTCGCCCCACCACTTGCCCGCTTGATCCAGTCCCGTATCACCTTATCAGATCTATCCTCTTGTCTTGTGCCCTCCTTAACACACATCTTCAACTGCTCCTTCTAGCACTGTCTCTGCTGTCCTCAAACATGCTACTGTAGTACCCACTGTAGTTCCACCATAAAAACATTGCCCGCATCTGCTCCTTTCTTACACTAGATGCTACTAAAGAGCTTGTCCATGCTCTAGTAATCTCTCGCATGGACTATTGTAACGCTCTAATTGGTCTTCTCAATAGCCGTATTACCCCGCTACAATCTGTAATGAATGCTGCAGCCAGACTGATTTTCCTCTCTAGTCGACCCTCACACCTCTCCCCACTGTCGGTCCTTACATTGGCTCCCTGTATCCTATAGGAGTTAATTCAAATTGCTAACCCATACCTATAAAGTACTGAACAATCTTAGCCACTCATATCTCCTCACAGATCCATATGTAGGCCCCTTCTGTCTCTCCGCTCTGCCCGTGACCTGTCCGCTGCTCGCACCCGTACGGCCAACTCGCGCTTGCAGGACTTCTTGCGGGCGGCTCCCTTACTATGGAATAGCCTGTCTACCGCCATCAGACTCTCCCCTAGTCTTCAATCGTTTAATTTAGGAAAGCCTATGACCTCCCAGACTAACCTCTACCTCACATACCTGTCTTACTTTCAACTAAAGGGCAGAACTCTACTCTCTCCTCCGGCCCTGCTTCACTCCCACCTTATCTGATTGCTATATCCCATCCTAATGTGTTTTATACCCCACCTCCTATAGACTAAGCTTGTTTGAGCAGGGCCCTCTTCAACCTATTGTTCCTGTAAGTGTGCTTGTAATAATCATATATAGTTAAATCCCCCCCTCTAATAATATTGTAAAGCGCTACTGAATATGCTGGCGCTATATAAATGGCGATAACACTGTAGGTGGGCATCCTTACCGATGTCTTGTATATTTATGGCACCCAAATGGATCCCATTAGGTTTCTGGGCCCAATATTGATTAAGTTTGTAATCTTAGTTGGATTGTAAGCCCCTCTGACTAGGGTGTCATCATTACTTTGTGCTGTTTCGGGTTTTATTTTAAAATGGGTCAATGCTCCCAGGATCCTGGCAGT